CTGGCGTGCTTTTCTTCATGTTGCCTGGCAACCTGACATGGCACACCCTTCAGTGACTGAGCACACTTTATCCATAATGCTTTGGGGTTTCTCTCATCCCCTCTCTTCCACACTCACTCATTCATGCTTTCTGTTCAGTCGTAGAGAGAGACCGGCTCGCCTTTGTCCCTGTGGGATTCCCTTTGAGAGGAGCTGTTTGATTTACTGTCTTTAATGGCGAGGTCTGTCTGGTGAAGGAGATAAGTGTGCATGTTTATGTATGAACTGATAAGGTTAAGGATAAGGCGTCAACATCATTTTTGCCTAAATCAAATTAATAAAAATAATAATAAATGATATAATCACAGATGCACAGATTCAAATCTCGACCAATTCAAATTGAGAAAATACAGGGTGGGGTTGGTGAGCGATCCTGGTACCAGAGCCATTTCAATGAAGTCTCATTCTAAGTAGTCCAAGGCGCCCTCTTGTGGTTGAATGAGGGGTACACGTGCTGTATGATGGACGTTTGCCCTTCACCTGCAGCGGGCGTTGCACCACATGACCAGGAACAGAGTTTTAAAAACTATTACTTCTTAAAGTGACCATAGCCTACACTTTTACCATGTTGTGTTTACTAAAGTAATACAATTCAGTTTTTTTTTCTTTTCCAGTAGATGATCAGTCAAAGAAGGTGCTTCAGAAAATGTTGATGGTCAACCTCAGATGAGTTACATTATTTAAGTTTCACCATTCTAAGAATTTTTTCATTTTTGTAATAGGGGAAAAACTTGGGTTTCGAACAAAATATAGGACACTGCTAAGCATTATGTTTTTGGTAATTCACTTTGTCACAAAGATTACATTTTTTACTAGAGAGAGACCGGCTCGCCTTTGTCCCTGTGGGATTCCCTTTGAGAGGAGCTGTTTGATTTACTGTCTTTAATGGCGAGGTCTGTCTGGTGAAGGAGATAAGTGTGCGTGTTTATGTATGAACTGATAAGGTTAAGGATAAGGCGTCAACATCATTTTTGCCTAAATCGAATTAATAATAATAAATGATTATTACAATGAATTAGATTTTTTAATTGTTCAATACATTATAAAAGGTTGAAAAATGTGTGGTCCACATTCACAATTTTGTCAGGAGTTGATGTGCTTAAAACAAGTTTTCTTGGTATGTAATTATATGTTAGATAATGTCTAGTATCTTTAATATTAGCTCCCCTTCAGGAACTCGAGCTGCGTCGAAACGCTATGGGAACGCCTTCAGCGTGACCACGCTCTGAATCACATGTGTAATCAGTCCATTGGATGGGCGAGACGTCACGGGCGGGGTGACGTAATGACCAGGAAGCTTAATAGCACGTGCGGTGGAACCGGCGTCAGCTTTCTGTCATTCAGCAAGCACTCTGTTTGTGTGTCAGTCGCTATCTGTTTGTGAGTCTTATTTAGGGTTGTTTGTCCACTTGTAAGCTCCATTATGTCAAAGCTTCAGTC